TGTCTGAGAATGTGGTGTATGAGATGGATGAGTTTTAAGTAGCTATCAGACTTTGCAATCCTGTGTAAAGCTACCCTACTGTCAGAATAAATGTGATAGTGTAAGTAACGTCTTTTGTCCTTCCTATGCCTAATGTGAATTAAACTCATATAAATAGCTAAAGTTTCCTCCTGTGCTATTGAGCAGTGTGTACCTAGATGGAAGCAAGCATTGTGAAGCATGCGGCCTAAGATGGAATAAATTACAAAAGCGGCACCCACTTCATCACCCATCTTAAAACAGTCAGTGTAAATCCTAAACATGGGATGATCACCTGGCTCTTCAAAGTAAATGTCAGGAGCAAGCTGGTGGGAGGGGTGGTAATCGTAATACAGTACTACAATAAAATACTCTTTTTGTTGTGGAATTCTAAATCTTTTTGTACCATTAATACCATTTAAATTCAACTGGAAAATACAAAAAAAAAATATATATATATTTTGCAAGCTAAAAAAATTTCCTCTCCACCGACCAAAACAAGTTCAGATTAGGCAGATGTTTGGATTAGCGGTGTTCAGACTAGTAAGACCCTACTGTACGTTCGAACAAAACAGATCATTTTCACATCAAATTTAATCAAACTATTTAACAAACAACAAACTTCATATAATTTACATTTTCAATTCAACAAGTTAAATTCAGATCACTTAAACTTAAAAAAAATTTACATCGTACAACATTTATAAAATACGTATCATAATTAATTCCGTAAAAAATGTTCTCATAAAATTACATTTAATCATAATTAATCTTTATTATCGTTATTGATTTTGGTACAATATTTATAATGGACAATCTTCAAAAAAATAATGTTTTAAAATGAATAATAAATTGTTTCGAAAATATTTTTAATTCTACCGAAAGACATTAATCACATTTTTCAGATTAAATAAAAACCAAAAGGATATTTCGAAATTAAATTACTTAAGATTTAAAAATTCAATTGAAGATATTAATCAAATAATTTCATTTCTTTAACGTCATCTTTTAAAAATGAAATATTAACAATACATTTTTATAAATAAAACTCGAAGCGTATCGAATTTACAGACAATAATACAAGCCGGGTGTTAATTATATCGAGTGACACTACAGAAACACAGGAAATTAATTTTGTGTATTACTAACCTGAAGCAATCGCTATGCCAATCATGATCTAATGCATGTAGAAATTCGTCATCCTCTATTACATTCAGACAACCAGAACACACCATCGATTCGTCGTCTACAATTTAAGAAATTCGATATATAACGTTACGTAATTAATAACATATAAAATAACAATAACGATAAGCGTAAATTAATTATTTCAACTTATAAACTAACCATAAACTTCCTCCATACTTCCACCATATTGTTTCTCGCGCATGCGTATTGATATCATAAATTGACATCTCAAAACTTCAGTTTGAAGTTTAGAATTTTTATTTTTATTTTTTTCGTTATTTTAATGTTAAAAAAAAGTATATATATATATATATTAAATTATTCAAACTTCAAGACACCATTAAAAATAAAAATTGCATTATAGTAAACATTTTTGTTTTAGTTAACTGTATAAGTTGGCGACTCCACAGAAAGCCCGTCGCGACCCTCTTCTGGGTCGCGACCCATAGGTTGGGAACCCGTGCCTTAGACCATCCCGACAGTAGGGAATAAA